TTTGGGAAGTTTGCTTGGAACTAATAAGAAAATTATTGTTTAAATATTTGCTAAATTCAAGTAAAAGCAAGAATTTCTTCAAACATCTCAGGCCTAAAAGCAGAAAATTCTTAAATAAAATAAGAAAAGTGCTCCACCGAAAGGAAAAAAACCCAAACATTTTATTTTGAAATGCCAGCCAACTGTGGGAGAAGGTTCAGCAGTCAACTATGGTGTTTTTTTTTTTGAAGCGCCACTGCAATGTAAGCTGATAACCTGGATCTGCAACCTCCTAGCTTATACTAGAGCCATCACATCAATCTAGTTTACAAAAACAACAATGCCTATCGCGTGCCATGGAACAAGTAAATAAGTAATGATCTGCTTGGCTCTCAGCACACACAAAGGAATCCTGTTGAATATGGGTGCCAAACGCTGGCCTGGCCTCTATCTGTCACAGCTGCCTTGGTATTAATGTCTCAAGTGGAGGTGCTGCGCCTCTAATCTAAACCCCTTCCAGCTCAACCAGCCATGTAAAAGAAGGAAATAACTCATACGGGTCGATTTCCAGCTCCACCCTGAGCAGAGGCGCTCGGTGAGGAGTTATTTGTAAAGGCATCTGTGAGGAAGTAAATTTCGTTAATAACTACAGATAAAACATGTTTAATTCCTTCACAACTAAACGAAAGGTGTGTCTAAATGATTCATACGAACCCAGTTTGTCAATATGCATCATGCCGGGTCGCTGTGACTTAAGTGCTGAGTTTTGACGGGCAGGGACACCGAGCAGACCTGTAGGAGACATGCTAAGAAGTAAATTGCTTTTGGGACCTCTCCAAACGAAACCAGAGGTACGGTCCCTGTCACACTCACAGGAAGCTAAGTGAATTAACAGTGACCATTAGACACTTAATAATTGAAATGTTTTAATAATGGCACAGAGGGAGTCACTTTAACTGCATTAACATTACATGACCATTGTTTTCATTCTCATTAACAAAGGAAAACCAATAACCTCCGAGATGAGATTTACATCTAGTGACTCTTTTGTAATGTAAGACTTTGGTACTGATAACTGTCTTAAATATCCAAACCCTTAATAAAACACCCTGCAGGTATGGAAGACAGAGTTTACTGAAGTTTCCAGTTTAAGCTGTTTTAATTCATAAATTCCAACAAAAGGTGCAGTGTCCAGATCAAGAAGACATCAACAAGGAAATTTAAAATCTTAAAATAAATTAAATCAGCTTGATGCTTTCTTTTTTTACTTTACAAGCTGCAGATTGTAGTATTTTGAGACAGCACACTTAACTTCAGCAGGGATGGTGAATATGATCCCAACTGAAGGAACTTTGTAGCAGGATCCATATCCACAAACCCTAAAGCACTTTATTTCTGCAGTCTACAACTTCTCTTTCTATGATGTCTTAACTGCACAAGCTGCGTCAGCCCTACTGTGATGAGAGAGAGGCATGCATGACTGTGGTACTAAGTTATGTCATCTGGGTCAGTGTATTAAGTTTTAATTTCACCTTGATTTAGACCTCCACATAACTGCTTGTGAGAGTTGGGTTGAGATGGAACTGATGTGAACCTGCTTTCAGAAGAGCAAGCATGTCCATAACCTCTGCAATGAATTTAAAGAGTCATTATTATTAACAATGGATCTCTTGTAATGAAGAAACTCACAAAAAATCATCACTCACCTTTGTAGTTATGTCTTATGGGTATATCAACTTGGTGTTTTTGGTTTGTGCTTAACTATTTGTTTCACTCTTGCCGTTCTCATACCTTATTTAAAATTAGCAACTACATTAGTCAAACATTTATCAGCTAAATATAAAAATAGATAGTTGCTTCAGGAGTTGGTAGAAACCAAAAGCAGAAAGAAAGAGAATATTGGCTTTACATTTGTTTGACTGTTCAGTTCTAGATGTTAAAATAGCAACTTCATCAACCAAATAGAAAATTAATCTTAGTGTTTGTCACTTGTTTCCATTGTAGAATGTAAACCATATAACTGGATAACCACTGACTGTACATAAAGATGGACAAACCCTTCTTCTTCTTGACATCTGGTGCATCAGAAGAGCACTTTTAAAGCTTACGTTGGAGTCAGATAGTCACATCCCATGCATTTCCCTAAACACTTTTTTTTTTTTGATCTCAATTGAAAATGTCTTTAAGTCATAAAAAGATGTGAAAGAAAATTTATGAGACCATAAGAATAAACAGTCCAACTGTCCTTACACCAGCCTGTATAATCACAGTATGGTAGATGTGGTTGTCTTGGGTATGGATGGTGCAGCACTTGGGGCGGTGTTATTTTCTTTCCTTTAGTGAAGGACAGACCTGTGGATCATATGCTAAAGGAAATAAACATTTAGAGAATGTTGCTAGCTGTTATTACACTTTCCACATGAATACTTCTGGGTCATTTCTCTTGATTAGGAACCTTTCTAGGCAAAAACAGATCATCAAGCACAATCTTAGTGTGTTGGCTCTAGCTGTCACCGTCTTGGCAGTGCTTGATTCCTACCAGCTATTCCAAAGATGAGCCCGAGGTGGAGCATGAGTGGAGCTGAGCAGGGCACCTGACGGCACCCACCTCTGTCAAAACCATCAAC